CCTCCATCTATCTCTGACAAGTGTCTGATATTAGCCGTGCCTTGAAACAGAAGGACAGACCCACTCACCAGATGTAATTCCCACCCAAAAACCTCATCAAGACAGAATGTACAATCATCAAGAACGAGGTGTACCGGTAGTTCGGAATAGGAATCCTAGTCCGAACTACCTAGTTCGAGCCCCGTGTAGCCGTGCTGCACGGGGTTCGAACCAGCGGGGTTTTAAAAATGGCGGCTCCCCGCTTATGCAAATGAAGCCAGGGAAATTCCGGGCTTCATTTGCAAGTGCGGTATGCCTACATTACCCTCCTAGTTCGAAGTAGGAGGGTAGTGTAGACATACCCTTAAGCACTTCACAGACAGCTCAGTGACAAAATTGAGGCTGCCCTTAATGCTCACATGGGGAAGTGGAAGAGCCAAATACAACTTAGAGTGGCATGAGGAGGGCATTAGCAGAAGCCCAGAGCTCATCTTCTGTTCTAACCACCCTTATTTCAGATTACGCTTCCTCCATAAGCAAAGAGTCAGTGGAATGGTCTTTATGCCCTAGAACTGTCCTCATAGGGCCCAGGAATAATCAAGATGCCGCCAGATGAGAAAGAAAGTTTTTTTCCTCTCTTGTTCTCTACCTGTTGGCTTTTTGTTGTTCGCTGGTCCCAGGAATATAAGTAGCACAGAATTTCTCCCTATCCATATTAACTGTAATTATGGAGGTGTCCAAGGAACCACATATTTTTGGATTTTTCTATTATTAGGATTTTAATGCTCCTGTCTTTTCAGGAACCAATTCCATTCAGATAAAGAAGACCAAGGTCAAGCTTATAATGAGATATCTTAGGGTATGTCTACACTGCATTCCTCTTTCGAAAGAGGAATACAAATGTAGACATCTGAAATTGCAAATGAAGCAGGGATTTAAATATCCCATACTTCATTTGCATATTCACAGACAGCCGCTATTTTAAAATAGCGCTGTTTCAAAATAAAAGACGCTGTTAAGACATGGGTACCCTGGGAAGGGCTGGAGACCCCTATTTCGAAATAAGCACTTACATAGCACTTATTTCGAAATAGCAATTTTGAAATTGGCGCTATTTTTCATGGAATGAGGTTTACCAATTTCAAAATAAGCCCTCCGCTATTTCAAATTAATTTTGAAATAGCAGTGGGCTTGTGTAGACGCTAGTGTTTTATCTGTACCTTAGAGTTCATGTCAGGTTGCCTCCAATAGTCCCTTCCTATGGCTTTCCAAATAGCTTGTTCCAAATAGCTTGTTCCAAATCATTTCCTGCTTCCATAGAAACCCTTTGCTAAACCCTGTAGGGACAAAAATATTCTCTCGCTGAAATGTTTCCTTCTTTTTGCAGAGAAAGTGATAACGAAAAATGGTAAGTCTACACTGATATTTTTAAGCATTATAGACTGTGTTGTATAAGCCCTTACCTTTTTCACTTCACCCCCATCCATTTTCCCACATGGTACCCTGGTACATCAGGATTTTTTCTTCCTTTTAAATGTTGTAATTTTGAATTATTTGGCTGCAAGAAGCAACAGAAGTCAGCATTTCTTAATCTTTGCTTGGGGTCAGACAATAAAGAGTCCAGATTTCATACCATAATCTGAATCTATAGTCCATGAAAGTAGACAATTTCTTACTTGGCTTAATTTTTTACTAAGTGAAACACAATCATTTTGGATCTTTATGGTTTTTTAATTAATTTACACTTTGACCTGAACAGTTAACCAACGCTTTGGTCTATGGTGTTGTTCAAGACGGGAATAGAAATTGGCGATGGGGTCTGATATTTTCTTTCAAGGTAACTTGTTGATTTGCAAGGTTTCCAGAAAGTCTCCAAATTGCCTCTCCAAATTGTTGAAGAAATAGACAGACGAGATAGTTCCTTTTACCACTATTGACAGCCTGCATCTCCATCCAGATCTTTGTATGGAAAAAGCTGTATTCCAGGGACACTTTATTGTGCTTCCAGGCTTTCTTTCTCTCCTTTTGTCTTCCATGCTGTGTCTTTCTCTGTGTTTGCTTGTGTTGTGTCTGGCTATGTTTACACTACTTTTTTTGATCAGGGGTAGAATCATAGAATCCTATGGCTGGAGGAGACCTCAGGAGTTATCGAGTCTAGCCCCCTGCCCAAAACAGGACCAACCCCAACTCAATCATCCCAGCCAGGACTTTGTCAAGCCAAGACTTAAAAATATCCACAGATGGACATTACTCCAACCCCTTAGGTAACCCATTCCAGTACTTCACCACCCTCCTAGGGAAATAGTTTTTCATAATATGCAACCTAGACCTCTCCCACTGTTACTTGAGACCATTGTTCCTTGTTCTGCCACCTATCACTACTGACAACAGCCTCTCTCCATCCATTTTGGAACTTCACTTGTGTTTTTTCATATTCCTGAAGACCCAAACTTTTAGCACAGCTCTCTCCTGCTGGACATGAGTTGCTACTTGAGATGTTACAGCGACATAGCTGTAGTAACACAGAATAGACATAGCATCTAGATCATTGCTCCCTGTTAGTCCCAGCTCCCCATTTCCTTAAAGAAGCATGGCAACTGATCAAAATCTGGGTGAAAATCTACCTGATATAGGCTGTGAGTGGTCCAACTCCTCCCCTTGCACTAGGTCTCAGCTGTGAGTGGGGTGGTGAGAAGTTGTGGGCAGGGAGAGCCGGGTCCTCAGTGGTTACCTGGAAGCCCTGGCTCTTGGTACCACTCATTGCCCATCTTCAGTCAAAACAAGTGCTTCTGGTGTGGATACATGCCCATTAATTACTGTGCTAGCTATACGTCAACCTCACAGGCCCTGGTTCTTGTGGGGGACATTAATCACCCTGACATATGTTAGGAAACCAGTACGGCAGTACACAGGCAATCCAGGAAGTTTTTGGAGACTGTTGAGGATAACTTCTTGGTACAAGTGCTGAAGAATCCGACCAGGGGCCGTGCGCAGCTTGACCTTCTGCTCACAAAAAGGGAGGAACTAAAAGGGGAAGTAGAGGTGGGTGACAACCTGGGAAGCAGTGATCATGAGATGGTAGATTTCAGGATCCTGACCAAAGGAAGAAAAAAGACTAGTAAAATACACACCTTGGACTTCAAAAAAGCAGATTTTGACTCCCTCAGAGATCTGAGAACAGAATCCCCTGGGATTCTAACATGAAGGGGAAAGGAGTCCAGGACAGCTGGCAGTATTTTAAAGAAAGCTTATTGAAGGCACAGAAAGAAACCATCCTGTTGCGTAGCGAGAGAGACAAACATGGTAGGAGACCAGATTGGCTTGCAGGGGAAATCCTTGGTGAACTTAAGCACAAAAAGGAAGCTTACAAAAAGTGAAAACTTAGACAAATGACCAGGAAGGGATTAAAATGTATAGCTCGAGAATGCCAAGGGGTTATCAGAAAGGCGAAAGCACAGATGGAATTGCGACTGGCTAAGGATGTAAAGGATAACAAGAAAGGTTTCTACAGGCATGTTATCAAGAAGAAGGTGATCAGAGAGAGTGTGCGGACCCTACTGGATGAAGGAGGTAACCTAGTGACAGATGATGTGGGGAAAGCTGAAGTACTCAATGCTTTCTTTGCCTCTGTCTTAACAGACAAGGTGGGCTCCCGGACTAATGCGCTAAATGACGCAAGATGGGATGAAAATGGACAGCCCTTGGTGGGTAAAGAACAGGTTAGGAGCTATTTAGAAAAGCTAAACGTATATAAATCCATGGGTCCAGACTTAATGCATCCGAGGCTACTAAGGGAGTTAGCATTGAGGAGTCTTTGGCCATTATCTTTGAAAAGTCATGGATATCAGGAGAAATCCCGGATGATTGGAAAAGGCCAATGTAGTGCCCATCTTTAAAAAAGGGAAGAAGGATGATCCAGGAAACTATAGGCTGGTCAGTCTTACCTCGATTCCTGGAAAAAATCATGGAAGGGATCCTTAAGGAATCCATTTTGTGGGACTTGGAAGAGAGGAAAGTGACTGGGAATAATCAGCATTGATTCACATAGGGCAAGTCATGCCTGACCAATCTGATTAGCTTCTATGATGAGGTAACTGGCTCTGTGAACGTGGGAAAGTCAGTGGATGTGATGTACCTTGACTTTAGCAAGGCTTTTGATACAGTCTCCCACAATATTCTTGCCAGCAAGTTAAGGAAATGTGGATTGGATAAATGGACGGTAAGATGGATAGAAAGTTGGCTAGAAGGCTGGGCCCAGTGGGTAGAGATCAACGGCTCGATGTCAGGATGGCAGTCGGTTTCTAGCGGAGTGCCCCAAGGTTTGGTTCTAGGACTGGCTTTGTTCAATATCTTTATTAATGATCTGGATGAGGGGATTGATTCCACCCTCAGCAAGTTTGCGGATGATACTAAGCTAGAGGGAGAGAGAGCAGAAATAGGGTCCAGAGTGACATAGACAAATTGGAGGATTGGGCCACCAGAAATCCGATGAGGTTTAACAAGGACAAGTGCAGAGTCCTGCATTTGGGACAGAAGAATCCCAAGCATTGTTATAGGCTGGGGAACAACCAGCTAAGTAGTAGTTCTGCAGAAAAGGACCTGGGGGTTACAGTGGATGAGAAGCTGGGTATGAATCAACAGTGTGCCCTTGTAGCCAAGAAGGCTAATGGCATATTAGGTTGCATTAAGAGGAGCATTGCCAGCAGATCCTGAGATGTCATTATTTCCCTTTATTCGGCTCTGGTGAGGCCACATCTGGAGTATTGTGTCCAGTTCTGGGTCCCCCACTACAAAAAGGATGTGGACGCATTGGAGAGGGTCCAGTGGAGGGCAGCCAAAATGATTAGGGGGCTGGAGCATATGACCTATGAGGAGAGACTGAGGGAGTTGGGTCTGTTTAGTCTGCAGAAGCGAAGAGTGAGGGGGGATTTGATAGCAGCCTTCAACTTCCTGAAGGGAGGTTCCAAAGAGGATGGAGAGAGGCTGTTCTCAGTAGTGACAGATGGCAGAAGAAGGAGCAATGGTCTCAAGTTGTGGTGGGAGAGGTCCAGGTTGGATATTAGGAAAAACTATTTCACTAGGAGGGTGGTGAAGCACTGGAATGGGTTCCTTAGGCAAGTAGTGGAGTCTCCATCCCTAGAGGTGTTTAAGTCTCGGCTTGCAAAGCCCTGGCCGGGTTGATTTAGTTGGGATTGGTCCTGCCTAGAGCAGGGGGCTGGACTTGATGACCTTCTAAAGTCTCTTCCAACTCTATGGTTCTATGATTCTATGATTCAATAGATTGATTTAAGATGATAGTGTAGACCTTTGAACTCTCTGCCCACAAAGTCCAAATTACTGGGTTGCTCTGATGCTTCCATTTTTCTGGTGGCGCTGTTTAGCTGTCTCTCATGGCCTTTTCTGATGAGGAATGAAAGTTACACAAGTTAGAGAAGGTTTAACACAGCCCACACCATAATGTGAAGCTGAGAGCTTAGGGCAATTTCTTTTCTAGGAAGAAATCTAGCCCTAGGTTTCAAGATCAGGAGAGCTAAGGGACTTAAACCTGTGAATACTTCCCCTAGATGAGTGCACTAACCACAGAATCTTGAGGCCTTGTTAGTTCACTTTTTCCTCTCTGCATAGAACCATGTTTGTAGCGCTTTCTGGTCCAGTCAATGTCCTTTCCTCTTGCAAGCTATGTCTATGGCATTGTGGCCAGGTGCAAGGTACATGCCAAGATTGGGATACCATGAATCAGGAAATATGTAATACATTTATCATACCCTTTTCCAGGAGTGGGCAATAATTTTGGATGGGGGCACCCCAAGATTGTGGTTAAGTGTTGCACTTTTCTAAGGAAATGGTGCATAACCTGGGACAGATGATGAATGCAGTAGGGAGCATGGGATAGGCAACTTGGATGCAGGACAGGATGTGGGGTCTGAGAAGGCTGGTTTTGTTCAACATCTTTATTGATGACCTAGAGGAGGGGATGAATTGCTCTCTCAGCAAATTTGTAGATGACATTAAGATGCAGTTAAAGATAGATATTTTGGAGGGCAGGGATAGGGTCCAGAGTAACCTAGACAAATTGGAGGATTTGGTCAAAAGAAATGTAATGAGGTTCAACAGGGACAAGTGTAGAGTCCTACACTTGGGATGGAAGAATCCCAAGTATTGTTACAGACTGGGGGACAACTGACTAAGTAGCAGTCCGGCAAAAAAGGGCCTGGGGATTACAGTGGATGAGAAGCTGAATATGAATCAACAGTGTGCCCTTGTAGCCAAGAAAGCTAATGGCATATTAGGATTCATTAGGAGGAGCATTCCTAGCAGATCAATAAAAGTGATTATTCCACTTTATTTGGCACTAGTTAGGCCACAGCTGGAGTATTGTGTCCAATTCTGGACCCCCATTACAGAAAGGAAGTGGATGCTTTTAAGAAAGTATCAAAGGGGTAGCTGTGTTTGTCTGAATCTGCAAAAGCGGCGAGGAGTCCTATGGCACCTTATAGACTAACAGAAGTGTTGGAGCATAAGCTTTCGTAGGCAAAGACCCACTTCGTCAGATGTATGTAGTGGAAAATTTTAGAGGCAGGTATAAATATGCAGGCAAGAATCAGGCTAGAGATAACGAGGTGAATCCAGTCAGGGAGGCTGAGGCCCACTTCTAGTAGCTGATCTGGAGGTGTGAATACCAAGAGAGGAGAAGCTGCTTTTGTAATTAGCTAGCCATTCATGGTCTTTGTTTAATCCTGAGTTGATGGTGTCAAACTTGCAGATGAACTGAAGCTCAGCAGTTTCTCTTCGAAGTCTGGTCTTGAAGTTTTTTGCTTCAGGATGGCTACCTTTAGATCTGCAATAGTGTATCCAGGGAGACTGAAGTGTTCCCCTACAGGTGTTTGTATATTACTCCTCGCTGCATTGAAGAAAGTCCATTGGAGGAAAATGAGGCTGAGGGATTTGGACTTATTTAGTTTGCAGAAGTGAAGAGTGAGGGGGGATTTGATTGCAGCCTTCAACTTCCTGAAGGGAGGTTCCAAAGACGATGGAGAGAGACTGTTCTCAGTAGTGACGGATGGCAGAACAAGGAACAATGGTTTCAAGTTAGGAAAAGCTATTTCCCTAGGAGGGTGGTGAAGCACTGGAATGGGTTACCGAGGGAGGTGGTGAAATTTCCATCCCTAGAGATATTTAAGTCCTGGCTTGACAAATCCCTGATTGGGATGATTCAGTTAGGGTTGGTCCTGCTTTAAACAGGGGGTTGTATCTGATGACATCCTGAGGTCTCTTTCAACTCTGGGATCTATGAGGGAGTTTGGGTGAAGGGGGGAGCTGTGACCTGGGCAGGGGATTAAGGTGCAGAGTTGGAGAGGGGGTTTGGGTGCAGGAAAGGATTCTGGCCTCGGGAGAGATGTAAGAGTGGGTGTAGAATCTGGGAGGGAGTTGTGACCTGGGGCGGGAGGGGGGTACAAAGGGTTTGGATGGTGATGTGGGGGAAGGAGTTGGGAAGTAAGAGGACATGGAGTGTCAGAAACAAGCTCTGGACAGCAAGCCCTTACCTTAGGCAGCTTATGCCTGCCCATCAGCCCAACAGGGACTAGGCTTCTCAAAACAGCTGGAAGCTTCCTCTACACTGTGCACCCCCGGTGTCAGGGGGAGATGTTGTGTGATGCCCCCAACTCTAGGCCAATGACCATAGCTCCCAATGGCCTATCTTCTGCAATAACTATCCTGATGTTGGGCGCGGTGCACAAAATCTCTCCCCTCCCCACCAGGGCATGCACTTCCTATGGGGAGTCAATAGCCTTTTTGAGCAGCCTTGGGCTGCAGCAGACTGAAAGCCTGCCTTGGGGTCTCAGTGGGATGGGCCACAGGCCAGATTAAAAGGCTTAGTGGGCTGGATCCAGCCTGCAGGCCATATCTTGACCATCTTGACTGAATGTGCTCAGAGGTCTTGGAGTAAACTAGACACACTGCTTTAGAAAATCCCCCCAACCCACAGCACTGCCTTGCACCACACTGTGAGTGCTCAGCTGAACATGTTTGCTCCTGACAGGTGCATGGGTAGAAAGTCTGACTCTCTGTTTGTTTTTCAGATATTTCTGCAGAGGAAAGGAGTGAGTTACTATGAATACCCTGATGGATAGAGGAGACCAGAAGCTTGCGGGATTCTAAACAGGGTTTCTGTTGTGTAACCATAAAATGGGAATACCAAATATTCACCTTCAGTGCCAGTTGTTGTACCAGCACTTGTTGCCATCAGATGGCAAATGGGTGGTTTATAGAAAGTAGAGTTCATGGAAAGGGTCCTGTTCATTTAGATAAGTATTCACCTCTCACATTGGATCTCAGCCCACCACCACAACTAATATTCTTGTATGTAACTACACATAATACATTACATAGACTTACAAGAAAGTCCAAAAGCTGCAGGAGCCATGGATTTTGTACTGTCATCAAACTTGTTGTAGGTGTTCCCCAGTTATTCCCAAACTGTTGTTCCAATTTTAAAGAGGGTAAACAAGATGATCCAGATAAATTTAATCCTAAACTCACTTTCCATGACAGTTTTTCATTCTTCATTTACATATCACTCTTCAGGAGAATGCAAATATATTTGCTGGAACAGACACAGAAAATTTAACACAAGGGGCAGGGTGACAGTCACAGTGTATAAGCTTATGAACCGAAAAGGAGTCTTCAGAGAACCTGTGTTGGATATTTATCCAACTGCAATCAGGAAAGCTATGTATTATTCCTGGCTCTGTCAGTGACATGCCATACTCTCTAAGGCTATGTCTACACTGCAGCATTATTTCAAAATAACATATGTTACTTATCATTCTCTGCTAAGACAAACTAGAATTGTTTAGAGATTCATGCTTATTTTATTTCTTCTAATTTATGAGATTGTTTAATTAATACAGTGAATTGGACGTAGAGAATATACAGTTGTGTGATCAAGATGTACATATTTAAATCATTCTCTCTCTCTCTTTCTCTCTCTCTGTCTCCTTTAGAATCATTGTTGGAAAAATTAGGTAAGTTCCCTGGATATTGAAGCAATTTCAGGAAAATATAGAAGATTTATACCACATGGATATATTAACTGTATTTGACAAAATTGCATATATCTTACTGCTCTCAGAAATAATTGGAAGCATCTTGGTTTTGAAACACGCTAATGGTTGACCCTACAAACGGAGGTGCAGTCACACCCTTGCTGCTAACTGGAGCTCCACTGGATGAGATTCCACATACAAGGAAGGGTGTGTGGATTTGTAGCCTATGGCAGTAGTGACCAGTAGACTTCCCAACAGAAATGCCCAACAGTTCAGCAAGGAGATACCAAAGGGTATGTCTACACTGCAAATTTAATTCGAAATACCAGCCGTTATTTCGAATTAACTTTAATAGCATCTATACATGCAAATCGATATTTAAAAATTAATTCAAAATAGCGGAGCGCTTAATTCAAATTTGGTAAACCTCATTCCACAAGGAGTAACACCAAATTTGAAACACCTATTTCGAATTAACTGCTGTATAGACACTTAATTTGAAATAGGGGGCCTCCAGCCCTTCCCAGGGAGCCACTCTGATCACAACCAGGAAAACGTACTCTCCTCTCCCCCAGCCCCGGAGCCATTAAAGGGATAGACTCTGGCCACAGTGCCTGTGCCAGCTCCAAGCCTGCCATCCCAGAGCCAGCAATGGCCACCTGACCCAGAGGCCCCTGACCCAGAGGCCCCAAAACATGAGCCAGGAAGCCACTGTCAGCCAGCCCTCCACCACTCCCCAGGAGCAATCTGCCAGCTCCCAGCAACCTGACAGGGCTCGGAGAAGGCAGGCGCCTTCCTGGTCCACGGTGGAGATCATGGACCTTATTCAGGTCTCTTCACTCATGCATGTGCCTATCAGGTCGTTGCCCCTTGGTGTCATGCAACTGGAGCCACTTGCCCAAGGGTGCCATGGCATATGCTCGCACGTGCACAGGTTGCTGCATGGTGTGTGGTAGGCAAGAGCCACGCTCGTGGTCCCTGGTCTCCCTCTCTGCCCTGCCCGCCCCCCCGGGTAGGGGACAGTGATGGCACTTACCTGGTGTGGCCTCCCTGGATGACCCTGCTGACTCCAGTGCTGGGACTGCTTTGGGGTGCTGCCGGCGTGGCACCCTCTGCGCTGGCCCCTCTGCCGCGTCCACATCAGGGCCCTCCAGTCCTAGCTCGCTGCCCCCCGGGGTGGCATGGACCGTCCCACTCCCCAGGATGTGGTTGAGGGTGTTGATGTATGGGCAGGTGTCAGCCCCTGCTGCAGAGCTGCCCCCATGGCCGTGGCTTATGCCTGCCGTAGCTCTTTAATTTTCAGGCGCACCTGCTCCTGGGTGCACCTGTGGCCTTTCCTGGCCATGGTAGCCGCTAAGTGGCTGTAGACAGCTGCGTTCCTCTGCCAAGTGCAGCGATCATGGACATTGGGGGCCTCCCCCCAAACCTCAATGAGGTCCATGATCTCCGCGCTAGTCTACAAGGGTGTGCGCTGTCTATGGTCCCTGGCTGGCCCCTGGGTGCTGGGGGACTGGATGGGAGATGGCTGGCTGTCACTGGATGGCATTGTGCAGCCACTGGGTGAGACCAGAGTCTACCCCTTTAAGGGCTCTGGGCCTGGGGAGAGGAGAAGACTTTTCCTGGTTTGGCCCAGAGTGGCCACCAGGGGAAACTGGGAAGGGCTGGAGGACAGCCAATTAAAATTAAGTGTCTACACAGCACTTATTTCGAATTAGCTATTTTGAATTTGGCGTTACTCCTCATAGAATGAGGTTTACCAAATTCGAACTAAGCTCTCCGCTATTTCAAATTAAAGGTTTTCATGTATAGATGCTATTGAAGTTAATTCGAATTAACAGCTGTTATTTCAAATTAACCTTGCAGTATAGACATACCCCAAGACAGGGCTGCTTTGCTGTCCCTCATTGAGGTAGACAAGCAAGTGGGGAACCCTGAGAACTGTCTGTCCGGGATGGGGGTCGGGTCCCTTTAAGCACAGAGCTCAGTTAGCCTCAAGCAGCAGCCCCACACACTAAGTCCTAACCTGATGCCCTGCCAGCACTGGTTCCGGCCAGCCTTAACTTCGGTTCAGGGTCCACTCAGTGTGGACGCGATATTTCGAATTAACTGTTTTGAATTAAGATAATGCGAAATAGCACTGTAGCGTAGTTAGACCCAAAGGCTTTTATATGCTAATCTGTTTCTCAGGATATGTATAAGTGTTCGTGGTTAAATACCACAGGGCTGCTCCTTTCCTGTGTCCGTTTTCTCTAGGAAATATATCACTGCCATAACATACATGACAGGGATCATACACCAACCACATTGTCATCCAAGATGTTAATAGATTATGGAACCATTTCTGAATCCTGGCAAGTAAATGAGTGACAATTCCTGTAAATGAGCCCATCCTGAACTCTGTCACTTGTGCCATATTTGGTGAAGCACAAAGCAGAGGAAAAAACCCCATCAGGAATAAGAAATCATCTAAACTGATCTCCCCCATTGTGCTATTCCTCCAAGTTCATCCCACCACTCCACCCTTCCTATTAATGCCTTTTTCCCAGACAAATGCCTGGGAGAAAAGGTGAAGTTTCAGTTTGTCTTTAATGTCAATAGTGCTTTGATCGTGAAAAGGGTGAAAACAACTGCTGAAGCTGCAGGTTCTTCTGTGAAAACCACTAGTGAAAACCTCTGCCAGTTCTTAGCTCAGCATTTCAACTGGTTGCAGCAGCTTGGGCCATCCCGCTGGGAAAGAGATGATTTCCAAGGTCACTCAAAATCTAAATGATTTCAAAGTTTCATAGTTCAAATCCACCACACTGATTTACACAGATGCTGTTTCTAAGCCACGGGCCTGAACCTAATGGCAGGTCACATTTTCTCTTAAACACAGAAACTGTAAGCATCTGAGCTGAGGCTCATTCCTACAAACTTCATGTCTTTCCAGTTCAGTTACAATAGGAAATGCAGGAGTTTCCTGTCTGAGCAGGCAGCTGGGGAAAGGGCTTCAGGCTGAGGCCACCATCCCTTCTGTGTATGTGATGATGAAGAGCAGGTTACATGCTGACACCAAGTTTAACTGCTTGCAGGAATCCATGTTAGAAATGACAGACATGTGTCCAGTCTGAAACCTGTGCATTCAGTGACATAACTGTTTTTGTTTGGCAGGAAAACTTTATAAGGAGAAAGGTAAGTTTTCATTTATATCCCTTAGTTACATTCTGTGGACCAAATGATACTCTCATTCTCCTCTGCAGCATCCCAGTGGAATTCACTTCTGCATGCATGGCTTTGGCTAGAAGCTCACAGCCATACAGTATTCTGGTATATACTCCCTATTTTACCCTGGCCAGCCTTTTGTGCTGCACAGCCGGGGGAATTCTAGGAGGAGGAAAAGGAGATGCTCATGCAACTTTACCAGTCTCCCCTCTCTTCACTTCTGCTTGACTCTCTGTCATCCTCAGGGTGCTCAAACCTGTCTCAGGTACTCAGGAGCTGGTGAGTCGGGGAACGTCTACACAGTGGCGCTAGCTTGAAATGAGCTATGGAGTTGGAGCTTCACAATTTGTATAGCTTATTTCAAGATAGTCTATTCAGAAAGTTGGTGCTGTCTATACAGTGCCATGTTGTGAAATAGACCGCTATTCTGAGAAGCCCCTTGATCCTCATAGAATGAGGTTTGCCGGTATGTCAAGAGTAGCAAGCCCATTATATTTCTAAATAACACGATTGTTGTTAAGATGCAGAAAATGCTATTTCAGGAAATGGATGAAATAGCACCACTATCTGGATGCATTCTCGGACATGTAGCCAAAATAAGGAAGTGCTTATGACATATCACGGCACAATTCAGACCAATGGGAGGCTACCATGCAGCCATCAGTGTCCTGCAATGACTTGCTAGAAAGCTCCTACCTGGGCTGCTTACAAACAGCCTTCAAGCATATAAGCCACACTCTGAATATCTGTGTGTGCTGTTAGCTCTCCCAGGCCTGTTTACACTTCAGGTTGACACCAACACACCCCCAGTCCCAGATATTTCCCAAGCAATATATATCCTGTGCTTCCCAACCCTTTCCTGACAGTTAATTACCTTAAAATAGAGCTACCTAGACATGTCATCTTAAATACACTGGATTAGATAAAACTGTGACTCAAGTATATTAATCACAGATGAATAGGTCATACATGAGAACAAGTAATGAGGCATGAAATTTGTAAATGGGTACGAGAAAAATAAAGATGAAACATTTACTTGTGCCTGACTTGGCAAACGAGATTAGATTTCAGGAAAATTTCTCTCCACGTTTCCATCAAGGTTACTGACCAAATCCATCAGGTCAGGAGCTCCCTGTGGACAATTAATCAGACAATATTGACCAAAACCATGAGGTTTTTTGAATGGTACCTTACAAGACTTGCCTTTTATTATTATTACAATAGTGTGAACAGAGTGAATACTGGGATGGATTCCATCACGGTACTGTGTAAGGGGATAGGCTCTCAAAGCAGTGAGCACAGGAATAAGGAACACTCCTGCATGTACCACAGTAATACATCTGAGAGAGACAGGATCCCATATCAGAGAAAGGGGAGGAGAGACAGCTTTAATACTTGGGAGTTGAAGAAGCAGAGCTGTAGATAGGGAATGTGCAGGGGCTTATAGATCAGAGTTACAGAGCAGGAGTTTAGTAGACATTTTTTAGGGCATAGAGTCAAAAATGTCAAGAAGCAGCAGGCATAGTACAGGGAAAGGAAGCTGCAGAAAATGGGAGGCCAAAGATCAATAGAAGAGGCTCCCTTCACCTGGTATCAAAATCTTTGAACTCCTGAGTCTCTGAGACTGAGATAACACTCTTCAGTAAGACACAGGCCATAGAAAGCTGCAGACTTGCCTTGAACCTCTCCAGTTTCACTGATGACCTGGACCAGGAACATGAGAGACCAGCACAATTTTGTTTTGCCCTGTCCCTGACATTCAGATACTCAGCATCTTTGTCATGGAGGCCTTTCAAAGGACACTCAGGTCACTAAACAGGAGGCATTCCACTGACATTCAATGCATGAGCATGAAGGGCCTCTGAAATTGCTGTGATCTTCAGAGTCCCACTGGACCTCAGCCTCTGTGCTGACTGCTCCATCATCTGCTCCAAACATTCCATAGAACTTTATGTATCTATGGAGAGAGAGTGCATATCATTTAAGCCTTCACAATTCAGATCAAGATCTGAATGAGTTCTGGAGACCACATTCCCCTCCAGCACATAGTGGGTGTCTCTCCAGGGCAGGTGAAACCCTATTGGTTGGGCTGTGGTGGACCCCTGACCATGTTGCACGTTGTCTGTGTTTCAAAGAATGATTATTCCAGTCTGGCACCTCATGAGAAAGAAATTTGCAGAGTGAAATCTCAAATGTTTTCTCACTCTGCAATATTAAGTCATTATCTCTATTTGCACACTAAAATAAGTTCCTATTATTTTTTTTTCTTTTTCAGATGCATTGGTGGCTGAAATAGGTACGTCTGCACTGATTTCTCATGCTGGGAAACTAGTCTCTCAATTTGAACTGTTGTCTCAACTTGTGGATTAAAATAAGTTCCTCTGTTGAAAAAATCTCTTCTGTCTTTCTCTGTTAAGGCACCACACCAAAAGGGAAAATTCTCACTGAATTTTTTACCTTCCACCTTACAAAATAACACTCTGGAAGTGACATATTTAATTTCTGGTATTCCCTGTATATTATATCAAGCTATTCCTAAATATGTGGCTGATTTAAGGATAGTAACAGGAGATTGCAAATTTTACTTTAAAGGACCTGTTATGTATTCAAAATTAGGTGTAAGTTTTCTATAAGGAGGCATTTTATCCAACCTATGCAACCCCCCCAAATAGTCTATTACTCAGAAGTATTTCCAATGAAACACACAGTGCTTTTAATAATAAGTGAATTAGCAGAAGTAAATCTGAAGTATTGAACAGTGCAGAGATTGTATATTGATTTTTTTCTAAGATTAGTAAATGAACATTTTAGTACATGAATTTTTTTCAGAGAAGAAGGGAAGAAATACAGGCAGTCCCCGGGTTACATACAAGATAGGGTCTGTAGGTTTGTTCTTAAGTTGAATTTGTATGCAAGTCGGAACAGGTACATATTGTAGGGGAAACTCTAACCAAACATTTCTCCAGAGCTCAGTTTTATTCTCCCACACCTCACTTCCCTCAGTCCTTTATTCTCAAGCTGAGGTGTCTGCTGAGAAAAGCCGCTCCGCGTCTCCCTGGTCTACTGGGGGGAAGCAGCTAGTGCGGGGTTGTCTCACCCCGTTTGTAAGTAGGGATCCGATGTAAGTCGGATCCATGTAACCAGGGGACTGCCTGTACTTACATATTTGTGGAATGTTTCTGTTCCTCGTTATCAACCAGCATTCTCAGAATTTGGTTAATATCTGGTCAGATTTTACCTCCTATCAGTTAGGTAACACTGCATGCAAGGGTGTGGTCAAAGCCTGTGTCATGTTGAGATGTAATTGTAGTTTTCTGTACTCCAAAGGGCTTTGGAGTCCCTGGGGCAGTGAAAAAGTATGGAATGGGGTAGTGTGGATCTGAGGTGGATTTTACACTGGTATTTCATGGAATGAGATTTTGCAGCATTTCCACTGAAGGGACTTGGATCAGACTATGAATCAAGGGGTTAGGTAGAATCACAGAATACTAGAACTAGAAAGAGTATCAAGACCAGTTCCTTGCCCTCAGAGCAGCACCAAACATCATCTAAAGATCATCCCTGATAGAAGCCTACTTAACCTGCTCTTAAATATCTCCAGAGATGGAGATTCCAAAACCTCCCTAGGCAATTTATTCCAGTGTTTAACTTCCAGACAGGTACAAAAATTTTCCTAATGTCCAATCTAAAGCTCCCTTGCTGCAGTTTAAGCCCATTGCTTCTTGTCTTATTATCAAAGGTCAAAGAAAAGATTTTTTCTCCCTCCTCCTTCTAACACCCTTTTAGATACTAGAAAACTACTGTTATGTCTCCTCTCAGACGTCTCTTTTCCAAACTAAACAAGCCCAGTTCTTCTTTGAGGAGTGTCCCTGTGGGTGCTCCACTGTATGTGCTTCAGCACCGCTGAGCCCATAGCTGGAGATCTGTGACAGCAGTATCTCTGGCCAGCCACAAGCATCAACAGCTGATGTGTGTTCCAAGGAGGCTAATGTGCATGCATGGCTGGTTTTCCCCAGCACTTTTTCAAATGCTGCCGGCTATGGTCACAGATCAGCAGTCCTCCCCTTCACCTCACTCAAGACTTACTTTTTTGTATATAGTTTATTTTAGATAAGTTCAGTTATAGTTTATATTTTAGGGATAGTGATAGTTTATATTATTAAACTTTTTTTTAAAAAAAAGAGGAGAGAAGTGGCGATGACTTTACTATGCTAGCAGAGCATAACAGCCGAATGCTACTGCAGACCCAATGGAATATGCCAAGTTCGCCCAGATTAAAGAGCTGTATGACCTGTAAACTTTCTATCTCAATTTCTGATGGCCACGATCAGCGCCTCCACTGTCTCAGGCAACATCATACATCAGACAACTGCCCCCATTGCCTGAAATTGACCCACTGTTCTAGGAGAGTGAGGGAGCTTCAATTAAAAATGCTCCAAATAGAGAAAGTCTCAAGACCACCCACTGACCTTGATCAATCCAGCCCTCCCTGACAAGATCATCTGGGATGAGGTCAGAAAGAATGGCTCCCTCAGATCAATCCCAAAGGAACAGGAGAAGAGTAAACCTTAATAAAAGCTCTGGGACTGAGTCACCATCAAGGAAGTGGTCAGCCCAGGCTAATGCTGCACCTCAACCCCAGGCAAAGGGGACGGACAAGCAATGATCTAACGGTACTGGCAAGGAAAAGAGCTGAGATTCCAAGCACACACACTGCATGTCAGACAAAGCTCTGACAGGGTCAAAGAGCAAAACCTCCCTGTCAGCACCAGCAGGAAAATCCAAGCCAACATCTGAGGCATGAAACAAACAGTGCTCACACCTGGCACAGAGCTGGAGCACATTGCCTAAGGCAGCACCATGAGCACCCCTAAAACACGCAGCTCCGACATCTCATTCAATGCAGCTTCTGTTACAATTAATGCTGCCATTAATACCTCACACTGCCTGCCCACTTGTACCACTTGCACCACCTCCCCACCTCCCTGATGCCTCAGTTCACAACAGCAGTTGAACTGTTGGTTCACTCGGTACCAGGGATGCACCTGTTCAGTACCACCCGTATTTCTAACACACTGCAGGGCTCTCTCTCAGCCACTCCAGACACACCTGTAGCAGCAAGCTTTTGCGATGATGATGAGGAAATACATAAACCACATCACCCATGGAGGTGAAATTCTCATAAGCCTCTGCAACTAGCTCAGCAATGGCAGCCCCCACAGTGGATGCCACCACCCGTTATGCCTAACTGGACATACTGGGACACTGGGGCACTCTGTAGCCTGATCTAAGCTTATGTTTAAATTCTAATTACCCACCTTTACGGTTGACAGGTTCTTTGTCCCAGGATTAGGCCCAATATTCAATTATATTATGATTGGAAGCCCTGATGTGCACAGTTGCGCCTCTCACAATATAGAAACTCTTAGGGTATGTCTACACTACCCTCCTAGTTCGAACTAGGAGGGTAATGTATGCATACCGCACTTGCTAATGAAGCCCGGGAAATTCAAATCCCGGGCTTCATTAGCAAGTGCGGTATGCATACATTACCCTCCTAGTTCGAACTAGGAGGGTAATGTATGCATACCGCACTTGCTAATGAAGCCCGGGAAATTCAAATCCCGGGCTTCATTAGCAAGTGCGGTATGCATACATTACCCTCCTAGTTCGAACTAGGAGGGTAATGTATGCATACCGCACTTGCTAATGAAGCCCGGGAAATTCAAATCCCGGGCTTCATTAGCAAGTGCGGTATGCATACATTACCCTCCTAGTTCGAACTAGGAGGGTAATGTATGCATACCGCACTTGCTAATGAAGCCCGGGAAATTCAAATCCCGGGCTTCATTAGCAAGTGCGGTATGCATACATTACCCTCCTAGTTCGAACTAGGAGGGTAATGTATGCATACCGCACTTGCTAATGAAGCCCGGGAAATTCAAATCCCGGGCTTCATTAGCAAGTGCGGTATGCATACATTACCCTCCTAGTTCGAACTAGGAGGGTAGTGTAGACATACCCTTATATATTTACAGTTTATTAATACAGTTAGCACAGTCACAAACACCTCAATTTTGTAAGATGGAAATGTCCATCCATATTTCCTGACCATATACTTACATCATTCCTTCTAGAACAATCTTAGGTATTAGCCCATCATCTCTCTCATTACCTTCACCTTCCCCATCATCATTCTGGTCCTTCTATGGACTACATCTTCTCCTCCCTATCAGCCCTAGGCTGGGGTCCCATTTTTATACTAACTGACGCTGACAAGAACATGGTTTATGCATATTCAGTAGGGGATGTTTCTAATGCTGAAGTTTTCTTTTCTTATTGACCAATGTATCATTGCTCTTAACTTATTATCATATATGTCAATTCATTGCCAGGGGCCTTTGTGGTTATCTATCATAACCTGTGTCCTGATTTCTCAACTCAGCCTGAACCAATTATTTGGGACTTATATTTAATAATACATCTGCTGAGTCTGAGGGCATTTTTCCTGCCATCCTGTGTGGGTGAGAGGTCCACACCTAAGTTTCCCTTTTTCAGGCCTGGAAACCATAAATAAGTTATGACCAGTTTCTGGGTGAGACTATGTCTCAACCACGGAAGTCTGCAAACCTTAGCTCCTGCTGATCTTGCAAACAGCCTGTTGCAGCATGGACGAAAGATAAAATATAACCCCATATTACTTGACCTGGACTGTGAGCTTATGTATAGGGTTGCCAGGTGTCCGGCCCCGAATTGGACTTGAGCCCTCTGCTCAAGCCGGTATTTTCTAAACAAGATGTAATGTAGATTGTGATGCAATGTCAAGTGTGTCCAGTATCCGAAACCATCCAGCAACCCGACTTATGTATGTTCTTTTATTCAGGTACAACTCTGCTCTCTAGTTGTAATGCAGATATGACACTCACTGGGAAGTGCATTGCAATATACTAGTGGATAATCTAAGCAGACAATTCCCACTAAACCACAAGCCACAAGTGGGAGATAAACCAGTCACTACTAATTCACCTCTTCAAGAAGTGGGGATTCCTGAAAGTGGACCTATTCGCTACACACAAGAATGCTTTATGCCCACAGTACTGCTCCAGAGCAGGCATAGGTCCCCACAATCTGGGGGATGCCTTTAGTATACAATGGACAGCACACCTGGCATATGTATTTCTGCCCTTTCCACTTATACAATGATTGATCCTCAAGATCAGCCACAACAGGGCCAGATTAATACTCATAGCACCCAATTGTCCCAGACAAATGTGGCACCCATACCTGCTACAGATAGCATTCAGCCACCACATCACCTTCCACGAGTCACGTCCTTGTTGACGCAGCAGAACGGCCAAATTCCTACCCAGCCATCCACAGGTTACATCTCCAAGTGTGGATGCTTGCTTGTTAACCTCCACAGAAAGGACCTTTCCTGAAGTGATACAGCTCGTCCTTGCAAGCATAACAAGTGGGGTTCCACGGGGGTCTGTTTTGGTGCCAGTTCTGTTCAATATCTTCAACAATTTAGATTTTAGCATAGCATACGCTTATTAAGTTTGCAGATAATACCAAGCTGGGAGGGACTGAAAGTGTCCCGTCATAAATCAAAATTATCTGGATAAACTGGAGAAATGGTCTGAGGTAAACATGATGAAGTTGAGTAAGGTCAAATGCAAAGTACTCAGGAAGAAACAATTCGTGTCACACATATAGGATGGAGAGTGACTTTTTAGGAAGGGATCTAGGGTTCATAGTGGACAACAAGTTGAAGTGTGGACAACACGTTGTTCACAGTTTGCCGGAGTTACCCAGGTTCAGTGGAGTCACAAGAAAACTATTCCTGACTCTGACACACACTTTTTATATAACAACAGGCACGTCTCTTTGGCTGTTCTGTTTATGTAACATACACACCTAGGCTATGTCTATTCTTCTGTCCTCTTCCTCAAAAACTTATGCAAATGAAGAAGGGAGTAAAATATCGTTCCATGAGGTGTACCGGTAGTTCGGAATAGGAATCCTAGTTCGAACTACCTAGTTCGAGCCCCGTGTAGCCGCGCTGCACAGGGTTCGAACCAGCGGGGTTTTAAAAATGGCAGCTCCCCGCTTATGCAAATGAAGCCCGGGAAATTCAAATCCCGGGCTTCATTTGCAAGTGTGGTATGCCTACATTACCCTCCTAGTTTGAACTAGGAGGGTAGTGTAGACATACCCTCAGCCTGGGAGTTTGCTTGGCCAGAGCTCCTCAGCTTTGCCTGCCTTTCTCCAGCACTGCTCTGACTCCGGTACTCTGGTCCAGGTCTCTATTCTATCCCAAGGCTGCTTTCACTCCTTATGGACCAGTGTGTGGCAACGGCCTTGACACATGGATTAAGGATCAGTGGGGGATAGGTAATTTAATACCTTTAAAAATCTAGCTGTAAATTGGTGATGAATCAATCACAGAGTCATATCAGGCTGTGTATTTTACTGCAGAAAATCCGACAATGTAATGAAGAAATGCTGTAATCTTAATTGTCAGTGTGTCACTGGTTGAAACTTATTTCTCAGGATGTATTGATTAGGTTGGAACTCATTTCTCAGGACATATGGATTGTAAAAAAATCAGTTACATTTTTCAAATATGCAGTATAGATATAACAATGTACAGTTATTTAAAGAGCTGTTTTTTTCTTTGTCCTTTTCCAGTATTTCACAAATTAAAGGGTAAGTCAACTTGGAAATTTCAGGAAATTCCCTTCCTTCCTTCCTTCCTTCCTTCCTTCCTTCCTGCCTTCCTTCCTTCCTTCCTTCCTTCCGTCCTTCCTTCCTTCCTTCATCAGGAATAATGGTGGGAAGGATGGAGAGATAGCAGAGGCCAGGCATGATAAGGTTGGGTTGGGAGCCAAGAGAGGAAGGAGGTCCAGGGAGTATGCAAAGACAGTGAAAGCCAGAAGCAGTAGAGGTGGGCATGGAGGGCCCAGAGTAAATTAGCCAAAACATAACATTTGGATTTCCTGTTTTTTATACATTTCATTGTTTAGTACATTCTGTTGCTGATAAAAATTATTACTAAACCGAACTCTAAAATTCAACAATAATTGAGTATTAATTATCATACGTGTTATGGTATGCCCTAGGAGCCCCAATCATGAGCCACATACACACAGAGAACACCCATTCCTGACTCAGAGAGCTGACATTCCAAGTGTAAGACAAAGAACAAGCTAGGGACACAGAGAGAGGGGGAGCACAATGAAACAATGAGACAACACTGGACAGCATGACAAGCAAAGACGTCAGCTCACCATTAGCCTGACAGTTGTCAACATTTTTATAAGGGAAAAACGTATTTCCAAAACTCTGTCCCTCCATTTACCTTTGACAAGTGTCTGATATTAGCTTGAAACAACAGGAATGAACCATTCACAGGATACAATTCCCACCTAAAAAATGCTATCAAGACAGAGTGAAGGTGCAGGCGGCAGGGGCCTGTCTCCCACCATGTGAGTACAGGCATCTGTGAGGAGGACTATGGTTGTGAACTATCTCACTCTCCATTCTGTTATTTGGAGAATTCTGGAGCCAAACCTCCCCAGCCCTTAGAGAAGTCTTTTCAGTTAGACCAGGCTCCCTGTCACAGTCTTCCAGAATCCCATACTAAATAATTACTGGGTTTTTAAACTCTACTCACAGCCAGGACTTTGAGAGCATTAAGGCTGCCTCTTACTGCTCTCAACATTTCAATGAGATAGTTCAAGATCCAAATACAACTTATTAGAATGGGATGAGAAGGGCACCAGAAGCAAGCAAAAAGCCCATTCCCTGCCAACCACCCATATCTGAGATTACAAGCCCTCCATAAGTAAATGATCAGCAAAAGGGTCTTCACTCCATCCCACCAAAGAATAATCCCCATGCAGCCAGATGAGCAAGACAAATTTTCTCCTCCCCTGTTCTTTATCTCTTGGATTTTTGTTGTTCCCTGTACTCGAAGGGGTGTAAATAATGCAGCATCTCTCCCTGTCCCTGTTATCTTTAATTATGCAGGAGACATAACAACTACATAGAGAAAAATACATCTGGATTTTCCCTTTATCAGGATCTTAATGCTCCTATCTTTTCAGGAAACAGTTCCCGCAGAAAAAGATCTAGCTTGAGTTTATAATGAGATATCCCAGTGCTTTACCTGTCCCTGAGAGCTCATGTCAGGTTCCCTCCAATACTCCCTTCCTTTGGCTTTCCAAATAGCTTGTTCCAAATCCAACTCCTGCTTCCATAGAAACCCTTCGCTAAACCCTGTAGGGACAAAAATATTCACACACTGAAACGTTTCCTTCTTTTTGCAGAGAAAGTGAGAGAGAAAAACGGTAAGTCTGTATTGTATAAACCCTTAGCTCCTTCATTTCAGCTCTCTTTCTTGGCATCACTCAAGAGCCTATGAGGGGCCCACAAAATCTACTAGCTTGGACCTTCCTAGACTCTGGTGAAACCCCCGAATTATTTTTCTGTGGATCAGTGGCCCCCAACCCAATAAAAGTTCCCCTCCCCTGCCTAAGAGATGTGTCTGACTGATCCCTGTGCTCTTCCACAGCTTTTCCCCAACTCTTAGTTAAAAAACTGCTCTACAAATATTTTTAATGTTAAGGGCCAGCAATATTTTTTCATTTTGGTTTAGGTGCAGCCCATCCTTCCTAAATAGGCTCCCACTTTCCCAAAAGTTTCCCTGGTTCCTAATAAACATAAATCCTTCCTCCTTGCACCATCATCACATCCACTCATTGAGATTCAGCAATTCTGTCTACCTGGCCGTGCATGTTAAAATTAAAGCATTTCAGAGAATCATAGAGCTGGAAGAGACCCCAAGAGGTCATTGAGTCCAGCCCCGTGCCCAAGTCAGGACCAACCTCAACTAAGTCAACTCAGCCAGAGCTTTCTCAAGCTGAGACTTAAAAACCTCTAAGGATGGAGATTCCACCACCTCCCTAGGAAACCCATCCCAGTGCTTCATCCTCCTCCTAGTGAAATAGTTTTTCCTAACATCGAACCTAGATCTCCCCCACTGTAACTTGAGAACATTGCTCCTTGTTCTGCCATCTGTCACTATTGTGAACAGCCTCTCTCCAGCCTCTTTGGAACCTCTCTTCAGGAAGTTGTAGGCTGCTATCAAATCCCCCCTCACTCTTCTATTCTGCAGACTAAACAAACCCAAATCCTTCAGTCTCTCCTCATAGGTCATGTGCTCCAGCTCCCTTATGATTTTGGTCACCCTTCGCTGGACCCTCTCCAATGCGTCCACATACTTTATATAGTGGGGGGCCCAGAACTGGACACAATACTCCAGGGCTGTGTCTAGACTGGCAAGTTTTTCTGCAAAATCACCTGCTTTTGCGGAAAAACTTGCCAGCTGTCTACACTGGCCGCTTGAATTTTCGCAAAAGCACTGATGATCTCATGTAAGATTGTCAGTGCTTTTGTGGAAATACTATGCTGCTCCCGTTCGGGCAAAAGTCTTTTTCCAAAAAACTTTAGCGCAAAAGGGCCAGTGTAGACAGCAGAGATTTGTTTTCTGCAAAAAAGCCACGATCACGAAAATGGCGATCGGGGCTTTTTTGCGGAAAAGCGCATCTAGATTGGCCACGGATGCTTTTTCACAAAAAGTACCTTTGCGGAAAAGCGTCCTGCCAATCTAGATGCACTTTTCCGAAAATGCTTTTAACAGAAAACTTTTCCGTTAAAAGCATTTCCAGAAAATCATGCCAGTCTAGACGTAGCCCAGATGCGTCCTCACCAGAGCCGAATAAAGGGAAATCATCACTTCTCTAGATCTGTAGGCAATGCTCTTCCTATTGCAATCCAATATACTATTAGCGTTCTTGGCTACAATGGCACCCTGTTGACTCATATCCAGCTTCTCATTCACTGTAATCCTGTCAGCCGTAGGTCAGGGCAGTGAGTCCCTTATGACCGGCTGAAGTTCTTTTAAATTGTGCTTGGTTCTATTACAGCAACTGAAGGAGTCAGGTTAAAGCTTAAACAGTTACTATTTTATTGTTACAGGGTAAACTTAGCTGTTAAATGCTACTGCTGTGTTACAGATAACAC